AAAAAAAAAAAAAAAGATATATCAACTGAAAATATAGATGTTTGAAAGATGTAGACAGATTCCAGGATGACAAAGGTAAAATTATTAAGCGAAGTTAGGTGTGTTGAAGGATATGCCTAACTTCTGAGGTTGACATTAAGCAGGATAACCATGTTCTTCCATAACAGACACAATTTTGAGGTGACTACACCATAAATATATACTAGTATAGAAGCGTGCCACATCCTGTCTTTATTTTTTTTTATTTCTGCATATTATGGGGGTACAAATGTTTAGGTTACGTATACTGCCCTTGCTCCCCCTCCCCATCCTGCCTTTAATTCCAAAGGTAGGGGACAATATTGGCCAGCCTTATGAAGCCCTTTGTAGTTTTGCATGTGTTCTCTTAGCCACATTACACAGATGACTTTTTAGCAGGACCACAGGAGTCTTTGAACTGACTTTAAAATAACAAATGTGTTCGGTGTGGGATTAAAAACTGTAATAACAACTTCCACTAACTGGGAAGGTCTACAGAGGATCAATTAATTCTGTCATCCTGTGTGGGAGTGTCTTTATCTATCAATAGTTTTAAAACTCCACTTTCCCAACCAAAGTGATAGGCTGTGCTGTGTAGACTGTGATGGTCAGGTTTGATATATCTGTATCAATAGACTTCGTTAAGTGTATGGGCTGTTTCCCTTTAGACAGATACATTCATAAGGCCGGTCATCTGTGGTAAAAGGCAGTGTGTCTGCAGATGGTTGAGTATGTGAAGATAGTTGGCTGTTCATAGTGTAGGACAGTTCAAATATGACTCCAGGCCATCGAGAGCCTGCTGATTATTACCTTATTTCCAATTCCATTCCATAGAATACCTTTCTTAATATAAAACACAACTATATAGAAAGATTAGTGGTTTGGGTTTTTCTAGTAACTCTATTTTCCAGGGCTCTAAAACTTTTCAGTTACATAACAGGAGGAGTTCCCCAAACTCTTCATTAATGTCTAATTTCCCTGTTCTTCATTTAGAGTATAACAATTGATTTTTAAAAGATAATCAGTTGATCATTTTATATCACCTAATAAGCTGTTTAATTATTCTAGGTTTGTGAGGGCACCTACTTCATAAGAACTGAATATAATAGAAAAAAAGCCATCCTGCCAGGTCTCTTTCAAATTTAAAATGTGTAGGAAGGACACAGCTCCAGCGTTATTTCTGGATGTGGGAGAGAGGCCTTTTAGTACGGTGGTGAAGAGCCCAGGCTCTGGAGAACTCCTGTGTGGAATCCTGGATCTGCCATTTGCCATTGTGTGATCTTGAGCAAATTATTTAACATCCCTGACCTCAGTTGAACCTTATGCAATTGTTGTGAGGATTACATAAGCTAATATGTGTTTTAGGTTGAACCATATAAAATTGCTGTTTTTGTAGGACCAAAATGGTCAAATATCAGCAATTCACGTGATTCATATGGTTCAACCTAAAAAAGAAAGCTTAAAACAGTGCCTGGCACTTTGTAAGTCCCATGCCAGTGTTGGCTTTACCTGTCATTTTCACCTATGGGTGTAATTTTACCATAAAGTAAAACTTAGTTGCACTAAGTAGAGGGCCTGGATAAATGCACACATTTTCCACTTTTTACTGAATCTCGGCTAGGTGTGTTAACTTCTCTTCTAGCCATGGAATGGAAGGATTGAATCGGATGATCCTAAGGCCCTTTCCAACAGTAATATGCTAGTATTCTAAAATAAATTGTCCTTTCCTTGGCCAAGTTTTAAGAAACTGAGAGTCAAGAACAGTTGTGTCCACATTCACCTGTGTCAAAGAGAACCATACACCATAGAACAATTGTCTAAATTAACCACAGCCATATTTTGACTTGAGATGTGGGGATAATGTTTCAAAAAAAATCAACATTAACACAGCCATCAATCTCCCTAAAGTCAAAATGGTCACATCCACAAAAATAAGTACTTTTAGCACATTTTTGTTTCATAATGATATTAGTTCTTACTCATCTGGAGAATGTATTTTCTTCAGTAAAGAAAGTTACATGATGCTTATATCATTCGAATACTAAAATCACTTAAAGTAACCATCGTGAACTATAAAGATCATCTTCTAATAAATTGCAATCTTTCTAAATTGCAATTTTTCCATGCATATATAGGGAAAGCCTAAATACACGTCACTGTTAATTTCCAGGAATAGCCATGACTTGAACAATATTGCCACCTGCTTTAGAAAATAGTAACTGGAGAGTTTTAGTGGAAGTTATTTTAAAAATTATAGATTAGTTTTATAGAATGTAAGCTTAAGGATGTTTTCGAAATGATCTTTGTTTTTGCAAGCAGTTTGTGAAGACGAGATGATATGGCTAAATTTGAAAGGAATATATGCCCAAGCTATGTATAAGAAAGACTTCTAGTAGTAGTAAATTCTTTTATAATAGGCCATCATCTAGTGTCTTAAGAAATCACTTCCTTCACAGGTTGTACAGAAGCAACACAGAGTGACCTCCACCTCTGTTTTTCTGTGTTCACTAAGAGAAAGTATTTGCTTCTAGCCTTCAAAGGATAAATATTTAATTTGAGGTTTGATTACTTTACAGTAGTCTTTGATTTCTCCTCACCTTTTCTGTTCAAAAGTGTCCTTCGTTCAATAAACATTAAATCGGTGTTTTTAGGCGCCATGCTAGATATTAGTAAAAAACAAGAAAAGAAGATACAATTCCTGACCCCAAAAAGCCATCCAGTGGGTTGGAGCTGGAGGGGATGGGGATACAGACATACGATGGGACTAGGATGGGGCTATCTATGTACCAGGTGCTGTGGACTCGTGGTGTGTATATGGGAGTGTGGGTGGGGAGCTGAAGTTGGTAGCAGTGGGTAGCAGTATAAGGGCAAGGAAGTCCTCCCAGAGCAGGCATCTGACACTCTGCATGTGGCGGGTTACGGCCACAGCCTAGTTTGCAGGGATGGGAAGGACCAGTGGGCAGAGACAGAAGGACCTGATTGCCATGCAAAGGAATTTGCATTACGTGAATCTGAAAGTTATGGAGAGCCAATAAAAGATTTCAAAGAAGTAACTTAGTCACAAATTTCCCTTCAGAAAGATTGCTCTGGCTGCACTGCAGAAACTATATTGGAGGAAGTCCAGACTAGAGACAGGATGTTTCCCTTCCCAGAGACTATTTAGGAATCCTGAGAGCAGTGCTGGGGGCATGCGCTGGTGGTACCAGCAGTGAGACTAGAACATGTATAAAAGTCATTAAGGAGGATTTGATGCACATTTTTCTGATTTGTATTTTATTGTAATACTAAGCCAACTAAAAGTTTTGCAGCTAAACATTTTTGATACCTGGTATTATGATTTGAAGAAACATAAAATTCAATGTAATGAAGATAATTGTATGAATTTTAACCCTAGTGATACTTTCTTTGCTTTATGTACTCCATTATAATAATAGATTTGGTTGCCATAGGTTCTCTTAATAAGGGTGTATATATTCTTGTGTTGTATCTTATTTCTAATTAAATTAAATCTCTCATTAATACGTGACCCGTATCAAGATATTGTACTTTAAAAAAGAACTTTCCTGGTTTCATTGACTGCTAATCTACCTTCACTTGATTCCTTTTTGGTTTTCCATAACTTTTTCTAACTTGTTTTTATAACCTTTACCCACCTTTAGTTTTTTCTGCTTATATTTTTCTGAAAATTTTTTTCAGGATTTGGGGGTTCTTTCATGGCCCCTTCTCCGTCACCGGTGACTCCAGCTCAAAATAACCTGCTACAGCCCAATTTCGAGGCAGCTTTTGGAACAACGCCTTCAACTTCTAGCAGCAGCTCCTTTGATCCATCAGGTGAGGCAGTGACTTTCAAACATTCTTTTCATTTGTCTTGATAATACTATATACCACCTAAGGTTAGTATGTTACCAGGAAATTTACAGCAAGCAAATATTGAATCATAACCTGGTTTTTAAAACTTCAATACATCTCTCATTCTGTAATTAAATAAAAATTTCCAGTACATTCTGGTAGCTTTAAGAATAACCTGCGATCCTTTCTGTGTTTCTGTTTTTGATTTTAAGCAGAAATCTAACTTAACACGTACACCATCTATTTGCATGAGCTCACAGGCACTTGGTTTAGAGATGTTAAGGAAAAACAAATGCTTTGCACTAAATCTTTGCATAGTCTCTGAATATGTGAACACTCCCAGTGCTGTTGCTTACACCCTCTGAAGCCTGCATGACCCTCAGTTTTATGAAATTGAGACACAGAGAGTATTCTTTGCCTGCCTTTAACCTTTCATCACCGCTGTCATTTTGTTTGTATTCTCTTCCATTCTGTTCTTCCCATGCTGGGTCCTTACTACAAATTTTCAATTGGTGAGTTTTTGGCAATTAAATGTGTTTCAGAAACACCCTAACTATATCCCATGCCTGACAATTTGTTTGCTTCTATTGCCAGTGCCTAGTTGAATGCTGTCCTTTTTCACTTTAGAATTATTGTATAGTAGTGTTTATGGTAGATATGCATAGTTTTTTGATAAAATTTAACAACCACAAAGTTTTTGACATAGATAAGATATTAGAAGTATCTTATGGAAATACTATGAGTCTGCATTTTGAGTGATCTTTTTGCATTTTAGAACTGAACAAATGGTGATTTATCATAAGATGATCGGGAAACATCAAGGATGGCATTTGATTCCTAATACTTAAAATA